TTTCCATATCAGTCACCGGCTTAATCAAGTTGGCATTCATTCTGCCAGTGACCCGCGGCTCAAAGTCACGTAGTAGCTCACTTCCATCAGATGGATTTGAGGACTTAAAGAGTTCCTCGAAGTATTTTATCGCTATGTCACCTTTTGCTTCTTCTGACGTGTGCTCTACTCCGCCGGGATCGATGAGGCTAGGAATGTTGTTCTTCATTTTCCTCGTCTTGGCCCATCCATGAAATATTTTGGTGTTCTGGTCTCCTGCTTGTAACCAATTATTCTTACTTCTCAGTTTCCAATACTCCTCCTCTTCTTGGAAGACCTTTGCGAGCTCTAGTTTCATATCAGCCAGCTTCTGCAAATTTGGGAATTCCTTCTTTTCTTCTGTATCTAACTCGGTTCTGAGCTTCTGTATCAGCTTCTTTGAGTTACTGCCTTCATCACGTTTCCATTTAGCTAATACCTTTCTGTAAGAAGAAATACGTTCAGACACCGATCATGATCCTCCATTGTGTTCCGCTTCCCATCCTTGTCGCACTAACTCCAGCATTCCGGGTTTTGAGCTCCATCTCTTGTCAAAGACAAATCGACCTATATGTCTTGGACCAGTCCCTCTTGTACTGGTAAAAATAGGACGATGATCTGAGCCTAAACGTTCAAGGTATTGTGTGTGTGACCTCGGAAACAATCTAAACCATTATGCGTTTCCAAAGGCCTTGTCCAGCCTACACTGTATCCAAACTTTCTCCTTAGTGCCGTTGTTCCATATTTCTCTTACTCCAGCCCATGAGAATCTATCTCCAGAACTCGGAATCTCCTTGATTCTACAATCCCGAGCTAATGATTTGAAAGGGTAGAAGGAGTTCTCCGCTCTTGGAGGACCCCCAATCTTTTCAGAAGAATTCATCATCTCGTTGAAATCTTCTACTAGACACCATCCTGCATTTCGGTTCAGTCCCATAGTCTTCAAGTTTTCCCATACCGTGTATCTTTTATGTCTCACGGGATCACCATAGACGAATGAGATAAAATATAGCAGGTCCTGATACTTCACCTTCACGTCAATGGTTCTATCACTCGACGATAGAATCTCTACATCATGCGTATTCCTCAATAACAATGCCAGCCCTCTACTGAGACCCACTGGGCTTACCAGATAAATGTGGTCGTAATCCAACGGCCTCGTAACAGTTTTCACGTGATCACTAGAGTTTTTAGTCTTTAGGAGAAATAGAAAATCAGGGAAATGTTCACGACACATTTCCTCAAGATGTCGAACTGTCAGGTTGCTCCTCAAACCCCGACAGTTCCAACTGAGCGTCGTCATTGAGGATTGGATGGTTTCTGGTGAACCATCAAACCTGCAGCTTGTTTAGACATTCTAGATGAGACTTCCATCTCCTCCCTGACCTTCCTTTTTGTGTTGGTATCGGTATCCTCCTGGCTAGCCTTGTCCCTTGGTATCTGAGAGGCTAGTTTTTGTTGACTCTGTTGCTGTTTCAATCGCTTCCAATAGGCTCCTCTGCTTTTTGCTGATTGACTTCTACTGTGTGTACCGGACACCGAATCAGCTGATCCCATCACAAACCCATTATCTATTTCGGGAGGTAGATAATCCCCAGATCTCTCCTTGTCTTCGTGAGTAGTAGTACCTTGTATCTGACTCAAGTTGCGCACCAAAGAGTTTGCGTTTTCTCTTTGAGTCACAGTTTCTAAGTTCCATGTCGCATCCTTTTCAGTCTGAAGTCTATCAGCATCATTCCTATTCTGGTTTATCATCTGATTCCTCACCATCAGTCCCCCATCTGTGTCGTTAGCTGGTAACGTGTTTTCAGCCATACGGAAATCAAAAACTCTTCCAACATCTTTGTTTTGAAAACCGGTGATTCTAGGGTGGTCTTCCAATCGAAGATACGAACTCTGAGCTGCTGAGTTTTTAGAGAGCTCCTTAAGAGATTTTATCATCTTGAACTCTCTGATGCGCCGTTCCTCAGGGTCAACACATTTCATGTACAATTTCATCTGCTCATAAACCTCCGGTGCCACTACTGAGCGCGGTGCAAAACCAGGAGGTACCGAAGATGTAAGCATCGGCATAAGAGTTTCCACCAGGTCTGTGTGATGTTGGCGATGTACTACCGGTGTGATCTCTACTTCCTTCCCTTTGTCTAAATTCTTACCACCTCTGTTTTTCGCCGTTTTGATAGGGCATCTGGATTGTTCATGTGAAAGACGGAAACAATGGAAGCACTTCTTGCGCATCCTCTCGTATTCTACCTCCACTGTTGCAGAGCCCCCTTTAGGAAGATTGAGCACCTTTGTGTCCCTCACTGGTTGTTGGAGATCAAGAATGACCCTCACTCTTACATAGTTCTGAAGATGAGGTTTCTCAGGGTCAAACTCAATGTCCCTCACCTGACCAATGGGATTGGCCACCGCTCTTATGGTTTTTAGGGTGGATAATTCACTGGAAGCTTGTGAAGTCTGACCCAAACTGATGCTTTCTGCAAGTAATCCGACGGTGGAAATTCCATCCATCGGTCCATCACCATTCCCCAGTCATCGAAAGTCCCAAAACCATAGTTCAGCACCGCCTGTAGATCAGATTCCAGGTCAAAGATGAACTGAAAGCTTTCCTTTGTGAGCGCTATTCCTCTCATTCGATCATAAACCTTCCAAATCTTGGGCATCGTTCGCAACATACGAGCCATGTTCTGGCTCTCCGGGTTCAGTAATCTTCCAATCAAACTTCTGCTATTACGAACTGCAGCACTGTAATCTTCGTCTTCTGTCAATATAACTGGAATATCCTCCTCCAGAAACATTGTTTTCATCACTTGCGCTAAATCCTCGTTCATTAGAAGAAGAAACACGAAATTTTCTAGCCAGAAAAGTAGTTTTCTCTTCGTTGAAGCAAGAGTTGAGTATGGCGACCGCTTCAAGAACCCTAGGAAAACATCTTTATCGTTTGAAGATTTGATGAAAAAAATGAATATTTGCCGATATACGCGTGATTTGCTGAGAAGATTTTTGGAAATTTTCCAAAAAAATCCAATTTCCGGCAAAGAAATATTCCTTCCGGGATTGATCTCCATTCTGATTGGGTAAGACAAGAAGTCTACCGCCAGATGAGTAGTTTGAATTGAGAGAGAAAAATCGAGAGAGAATCGCCATTTCCAATTATGGATGGTCTTAGATGATACAATTAATGTTTAATTTGGTATACTGTATTTAAAATAAGTCAGAATACGAACCAACTATCTTATATATTAAAACATAAGTCAAGACTTGACTTCATGTGTGATTTTTTAAAAAAATGGACTATTACTAGAAAGTTATGTTACATTAACTCTCTAATAATCTTATCATTATTATATTTTATGAAAAATCATATCTATAATAACAAAGATACGCTTAACAATTTGGTTTTGGTAAATTACCCTAAACCTTCCAACTTAGTCACGCAAAATATGTCAACAGATATAAGTTTAGGAATCTTCTATTCTTTATAAGGAAATATGTCAATAATCGTTAAACACATCCACAATATATTAACAAAAATCACAGATTCGTAATATGGAATATTTATATACCCTGACAAAATTTACATGCTATATATACTATATAAATTTATTTTGATGTAAATTTTTAAAATTAAATTTTTTTAAAAAAAGAAATTGTTTGAAAATTTATTTTTTGATAAAATTCTTTCTAATATTAATTTATGAAGCTATAAGTTTAGTTTTTAGCAAAAAAAATTTTGAAGTTTATATTATCTTTGCAAATTAAAGTATACTAATATTTAATAAAGCTCTATTTATTTTACTTTATTTAAAAATTAAATACTAATCTAACAAATAATAAAATATACAAGAAGAAACAAACACATGTTTGAAAAACATGTATAATACAGAAAATTTGAAACAATCTATTTGATTAAAGCACGTATTATATAATATTATTATGTTTGAAAAATATTTACTATACATATAGTAAATATGTGCTTACTATAATATATACCAATTTACAAGTGAAAACAAAATGTTTATATAACTATAAACGAAAACAAACACCCGCACGGTTGCGCGGGTCAAAATCTAGTTATTCACTTAAAGTGAAAAATGTAGACCCGAGAAGAATAGTACATATGGTTACGGTTTTGTTTATTGATTACTTTGCTAATTATTACTCCTTCTGATTCAAAATATTTCATATTTTAACATTTTCACATTTATTAAAAAGATATATTAAATTTAAATTATCAATATATTATTTTTTTATAATTAACTAATTCTTATAACTTTAATAACTAGATAATTTAAGGCTTATTTATTTCTAACTTGTACTTCATTTTAATAGATTGGATAATATCATTGTAATTCTTTCTACTCAGTTAGAAATAAATAAATTGTTTTTCAAAATGCCCTTAATTTCTAGATACAATATTGAAGTTCCCATAAAATGGCAGATTCAAATCAATTGTTTTTCTAGTTAAAATATAGATGGGAAATATTCCAAAACCTTAAAATTAATGTTCAACCAGTCACAAAATCTTCAACACAATTGCTCAAATTGTGGAAGTTTCATCATCGGATGCTGTTTTCAAAGTTAAGGGAATTTAGCGATTGCATTTTCCAAATATGTGTAGCTCATTCAGTTGAAAACTTTCCTCACCAGAATAGGATAGTGGTTCGGTTCTGTTCCGAAGATGACAACGTCTTCTTGTAAGGCATGTTGTATTTAAGTTATTTTGATTAACTAGAGAAAACTATACTGCTTAAATTAAACTTCCTACATACTGTATATGAATATATGATTTGAGTAACTTCCTCTAAAAATCAATAGCGTTGAATTTTATAAAAAAAATAAATGCTATACGAACTTGAATTGTTAATTATTTATTAACTAAATTAATTATTTATGTTGGGGTCCGGTGTCTTATAAATATAACTCTTCCATTCATACAAAAGAAAAAAATAATAACCCAAACTATCCTAAAAACTGCCATGCGAACCCTTCTCTCCACCGTCGGTTTTCTTTTCCTCCTCCTTCTCAGCCACAACGGTGGCTTAACAGGAGCCACCGATGCCGAGCATAGCCTCCGAGCCACAGATTCTCACACTCATCGCCACCGTCGCCACCACGGCCACCGCCGCAGAGAAAATTTCGAGTACTCAGCCTTATCATGTAGAGCTTACTCAGCGTCTCTTGACGAGTTCGGAGCCGTAGGAGACGGTGTGACCTCAAACACGGCTGCGTTTCGCGATGCAGTGTCTCAGCTTAGCCGTTTCGCAGACCACGGTGGCTCATTGTTATTTGTTCCCGCCGGACGGTGGCTTACCGGAAGTTTCAACCTCACCAGCCATTTCACCCTTTTCCTCCACCGTGATGCTGTTCTCCTCGCTTCCCAAGTAAGTTTTTCTCTTTCTTATTTTTTTTTCTCCATTATATTCAATTTCTTTACCTTTCGTTTTCTAATGAAATCAACAATTAAGAATATTCCCCGCGACAAAAAGACTCCACAAACGTCTTTGATGAGTATTTTTTATTCCTTTTGCAAGTTTGTTGTTGTTGCAATTAGGGCTGGGCATTTTATTCGTTATATTTGATTCGATTCGTTATTCGTTTCGATTCGATCCG